TCCCAAATGTAACTGGGATGCTCCGGCCCATCCCCATTTCCGTAGACCCCTCCTCCCCTCCCACGGCCACCGTTCTCCTCAGCAGGCCATTTACCCCATGCACTCCGGGATGAGAGGCGGGGCCGGGGCCACATCCACTTCTGCGTCTGCACTCGGTGGAGGGGGCTCCAGGCTGCACTCTTGGTCCCCTCATATATACTAAACAGTCGTTCCCAACATGCATGCCCCACTATAACGCTAAAAGCATAAATTACAATAAAACAAAGCATAAAGCTAAAAATTAGTTTTAAAAAGTGGGATCATTCACTAACATACATACAGCAAGCATTCCACATACAAGAGCAGTTTGCGCAGGTCTTAGTAGTTGTGCAAATAGTTCTTAGCGTTTGAAATGGTTAAAATGGTTGAAAACCAGCAATGGTCCACAGGTGGCATACAGGAGGGTGTCTCGTCTTCCCCCTCTCCTGTAGGCCTGGAAAGGTCCAAAAGTCCGGGGCGGTTGAGGGGTGGCAGGGGGCCTCCCTACACGCTGTGAGTACCCCCACTCATCCAAAGTCCAAGGGACCGTAATGAGAGGAATTAAACAAGTGCTGTCCGAGATGGTATTCCGGGGGCAGTGGCAGGTGGCGATGAACGATGGGACTGGGGCTGAAACAGCAAGTCCAGGGGCCCTGGAGTTACGGTTGGAGGAGGCTAGATATTCAGAAGCCCAGATAGAGAAGAGCCAGATGTCAAGCAGGGGGAGTAGAAGAGAGCTCCACAGCAGCGATGGTGGGCTGAGGAAGAAACTCACCAAGGAGAAAAGTCTGGTCAAGCAACAAACGGAGGAAAAAGGAGGCAGCGCTGATGATGAGGCCGAGCCAAACAAAGAGCGGGGGAGGGGGCGTCCGGAAGGGCCATGGCGGCGGCAAATATAGCCAGCCGCCCAATTCGCCCAGCCTCGACGGACGCACAGGTCGTTCACCCCCCCCTCCGGGGTGATGGTAGTCCAAAAAGGTCCCCAAAGGCTCACCAGGTCGGGCGGGCAGAGTCAGGAGATATCGCAGGCGCCAAGAATCGATAAGAAACACCTCCATCTCCAGCGCGCTGCCGCCATCAAGCAGCATAGATCGTTCAAAAGCCGCTGAGCGTTGCGAGGTCTGGGATCGTCCGGGAGTGACGACCTCCCCAGCTATCTGGTCTCTTTGGGTCCCCTGGATCTCAGGCATCCCCCGGGACCTTTCCGAAGGATTATGCTGTCAGTTTGTAAGGTTTCCCAGCGCTTTTTCGTCGGATTGAAACGGAGCGAAAAAGCGGAGTGGCCATTCCAAAACTCGCACAGAGAGGGCTTTTTTCGCCTCCCCAGGCTCCAGAGTCTTTATAGGAGCCTGGGGAGGGTGAAAACAGCCCCCCCGGATGCCGTCCGGGGGCTTCAGGGACCTTCAGGAGGCTTCCCTGAAGCCTCCGGAGCAGTCAAAACGACCCTCCGAGCAAACCGGAAGTCACTTCTGGTTTGCTCGGAGGGTCGTCTTAAGCGCTCCAAAGGCTTCAGGGACCTTCAGGAGGCTTCACCTTCAGCAGTCAAAACAACCCTCCAAGCAATATGTTATATTAAAGATGGAAAGTGAAAGAATTCTGAAGTGATTTGTCTTGGTCTGATTTGTTTACATCTCAAAAACCTGGCATTTTAATGGGTGTGTAGACTTTTTATATCCACTGTATTAGAACTTGCAGAACATAATAGGACCACTTAAAAACCTTCAACAAATTGGGCTGGTTTTTCCTGTTAAAGGTTTTTAAGTGGAAAAATCAGACCCTTGCGTATCTGTAAAGTCAAAGACATCAATTTTGTCCTTTAACACCCCCCCCCCCCATGGGAGATAGGAATTCTAAAGTATAGGCCAGTAGTGTCAAACTCACGACGGTGTCACATGACATATCAGGACTTTTTCCCCCTTCACTAAACAGGGCGTGGGCAGCACATGACACATCCTGCCCGTGGGCTGGAAGTTTGACAGCCCTGGTATAGGCCCTACCCATTGCTGTTACTGTTGTTAGGTGCATCCTTTGCAGCTTCCAGATAAGGTAGAAAAAAGTGACTAACCAGACAAAAGAGGTAACCCTTTTCTTTGTAAGTTAGAAAACTTATCTGATAATTAAATTGTGTGAGAGCAGCTAAGTAAATGCAAATGTTTATCTGGTGAGGAAGAATGTTAATATTGTGAATTGATCAGGCATTCTTGCCTACACATATTAAGTCATTTATTTATTCATTAAATTTGTTTGCTGCCCATCTCGCTGCAAGGCGACTCTTATATTTTCTGTACAGGAGGGTGTCCGTATGGAGGAAATAGTTGAGGGCTGCACTGGAGCCCTTCATATCCTGGCTAGAGATGTCCACAATCGGATTGTAATTAGGGGTCTAAATACTATCCCACTGTTTGTGCAGGTAAGTGAAATATTTTGACAAATGCTTAAATTATTTGTGATCTAATGAAAATATGCTACATGTTTTTTTAAAACCTGATCTGAGTTCAGAGTTTGGTATCCAATACAAAATTGCTGTTCCCTGTAAAACAGCTTGAAACTTTTCTTAAAATCTCCAGAGGAAATAGGTTCTCAGTAGTTTCCTAAGAAAGATGTGTTTTACATTATTTTCTCTCAATGGCAGCTATAAACATTGTATAGTTGTAATATTCAGTGCAGAGGTGTCTATCACAACTTTGATGCCTGATAATAGCCAGAGTCCCAGTTACTAACTGTGTTTTAAAAACATCCCAGAATGTGCTATTCTTTCCCTTCCTACTGCTAGCTGCTATATTCCCCTATTGAGAACATCCAGAGAGTAGCTGCAGGTGTACTATGTGAACTGGCTCAAGACAAAGAAGCAGCTGAAGCAGTTGAAGCAGAGGGAGCTACAGCACCATTAACAGAACTACTTCATTCTAGAAATGAGGGTGTGGGTAAGTGAAAAGGGGGGGGGGGAATTGGCCTTGCTTTGAGTTTAAGCTCCTCTACTAAAATTATTTTCTTCTTTGATAGCAACGTACGCAGCTGCAGTATTGTTTAGAATGTCTGAAGATAAACCACAAGATTATAAGAAACGGCTGTCAGTGGAATTGACCAGTTCTCTCTTCAGGACTGAACCAATGGCTTGGAATGAGGTGGGATTTAGACTGCTAAATCTTCTCCATCTTAAGTTTTTTCCTATTCCTACATACAAATAACTTAGGTATAAAATATGGTTTTTGAAATTGTGGACTTGCAAAATAACTTATAACACTGGGAGACACATTTTGCAATTAACTTCCCAGCTCAGATGCCATTTTGCATATACCTTACAGAGTGCTGATTTGGGACTTGACATTGGTGCCGAAGGAGAACCTCTTAGTTATCGGCCAGATGGTATGTATCAATTACCCTTTTCATGAAAATCATTACATTTTATTAATTTGACTTATTCAAAACATTAAATGTGAGCTAGCTGCCCCCATTATAATAGACTTAGTTATTTCCACTGTTTGGCAGAACAATGATATATGATGTGCTGACTTGCAACAGTAGTCCCCTTTGCAGTTAAGTGCAATGTCACATTACTGTAACTTGTGACATCCTGCTGGGTTCCCCATTGACTGCTTGTGAAAAGTTGATAGTGAAGGTCACAAATGGTGATCACATGACTGCAGAATGCTGAAGCCTTCATAATTGCATGCTGATTGCCAAGCACCTGAGTCCTGATCATGTGATTATGGGGATGCATAGTCATCTGCAACTTCAAGGACCTTCCGTAAGTCTCCTCCTTCAGCAGCATCATAACATTGAACACTCACTGCACAGGTTGCAAAGCAAGGACGCCCCTTACAACATATGTTGAAGCCTTAGTGAGTACTTCATCAAAGCAATATTGATTAACTGCTTGTGTTCTAACATGTGAAGAGTACATAATATAAGGTTATCTTTATGTAAGCATATTTTTAGATATGTTGGTTGCAAAAAAAGTGAACAAGCCATAAGCCTCTCTGGTTGCATATTTAAACATCTGTTTAAGGTTTATTCACTGTGATAGTATATATGTTCTAGGTTTTCAGCAGTATACAGACTAACGGCTTGGCTGAAATGTGCTAATGCTTCCTATAGTAGTATGCTTTATCCATGTAAATCTGTGCCAGAAAATTACTTCAGTGTGGCAAGATTATGAATTCCACACTGATATCTGGAGCTTCTGTTACATCTAACATATCCACATGCTTTTCCCTCCTTCTCCTCTTTGTCACCCTTAACTTTCTTAGATCCTGGCTACCGTTCTTTTCACTCTGGAGGATATAGGCAGGATGCCTTGGGTATGGACCCAATGATGGAACAAGAAATGGGTGTCCATCACCCTGGTGCTGACTACCCAGTTGATGGGCTACCAGATCTAGGACATGCCCAGGACCTTATGGATGGGCTCCCTCCAGGTGACAGTAATCAGTTGGCCTGGTTCGATACTGACCTGTAAATCATCCTTTAGGTAAGAAGCTCTACCTACAATCTGAGAATTTGGCTGGCAGGGAGACAAGTGCTTTGGCTTGGACCACATTGGTCAGAAATAGGAATATCAGACTTGTGATATGATTTGTAAATGTGATTAACATGAGTGTGTTATGCTGCAAGCTTGGTACAGTTCTTAACACGAGTAGCCATAATCATTGTCCTTTTTTTCCCTTTTACACAGCTGTATTTTCTGACCTTGCATTGTGATTGGCCTGTAGAGTTGCTGAGAGTGCTGGAGGGGTGGGCTGGTATCTCAGAAAGTGCCTGACGCACTAGCCAATCTGAGTTTCCTATGGGAACAACTGAAGTAAACTTTTTGTTCTGGTCCTTTTGGCCAAGGAGGAACTAATGGATTTGAGGAGTGACTCATGGAATAGAAGAATGCACGAGAATGAATCACAAGATGGAATTTATCAAACTCTAGCCTTGCTTGTTTAAAACTATTTTTAATTTTTAAATAACTAATGGTACTGACCTTGCTTGCTTTCAGAGTAGTTTTCTCTTTTGCAGTAATTGTAGCCTTTTTAAGTCTGTGTTTAAGTTATAGTGAACATGCTACGGCAATTTCTGATTTTTAAGGATTGAGTAATGGTGTAGAACACTACTTCATAATCACTCTGATTATATTTGGAAAAGT